AAACAGCAAGGTGGGGAGGTGCATTGTCTGAAGGGGAAGAAAAAAGGCTTTGTGTGAGCTCTGTGCTGCTCAGAGCTCTGAGAAAAATGCAGGAATGAAGGAAAATAAGATGAGTGATGTAGACGAAAGGAAAGCTAGGACATTTTTGGGCATGTTAGGATGGATGGAAAGATGGATGGATGGAGGCTGTGACGGATGTTGTGTTTGCTGTGACATATTTGTTTGAGTGTAGATCAGGGCTGGGTGAGGATTGAAGCAGTCAGGTGTTATGTTTCACCCTCTCTCTACACCTGTGCTCTTCGGACTGGGCGGTGCCACTCCAGGGCCACTCAGTCCATGTGTGTGATCACTTGGCTGCAGCCTTTCATCAGTGACGGAGCCGCCTTCCCAGAGGAGTGTTTACAAGATCTCAGTAAACACTTGCTGACCGGCTGCTCTTTAAATGCCCTATGCCCCATTTATGACAAAAAAAGAACAGCCCACTTTGTGTTTCCTTGTCTCTTTATCTTTACTTCCTTACAACGTTACAGGCGTTTTTGATAAAAAGAAGAAACTGAAACAGCCATAAAAACTTGTAAGTTTTCACCTCGGAGTGTGGTATTTTTATACTGAATACTGTATTTGAATGTGCACAGATAAGCAGGCAGCGTTTGGCACTGAACCTCTCTGTCAGGTCCTCCAGCTACTGCTGGGAAAAAATGTTAGTGGTGCTGGTTGTGCTGTGCACACTCGAGGTAACACCAGTGTGTCAGACAGAATCACTGAGTCTCAAACAGTGAGTTCCTGCTTTGAGGAAGAAGATGAAGACATGAACGGTAGAATGTTTTTTACAGGTTTGAAGGAAGGGTTTAAAGACTGCAGTTTTTTTTTCTTTTACTTTTGTGTTAGTGATTACCAACAGAGAAAGTTGATCCTCTCACTGCAGAAGTGTTACATGTACAGGAAGATCTTATCCTTATTTTGGCCCATTTTACAGCTGTCAGCTGTCTTTGCTGTCAATGAATCTGACAAAACAAACAACAAACAAACAAAAAAACAGCAACAACAACGTATTTTCGGTGCATTTACATGTCATTAGAAAAAATTGGATTGTTGTGTCGGTTGGACTGAAATTTGATGTGAGTTTTGCCTACAAATGGACACTGTCAGCAATTATTGAAGAGTTCCGAAACACCTGCAGTCGTGTCCGACTCTGAGCGAGTGGTTGAACAGTCAGAAACTGCTGATCCAGGAGGCTGCAGTTGAGTTTTGTCCACGTCACAACAAAACAACAGAAGTGTAGAAATATTTTTATCTGTAAATTCACTTGAAATAATGTTGAAATCATATTGCATGACGTATAACGTACAACATGCAGTAGTCAATCCTCTCCGAGGAACAGATAAACTAACTCTGCTTTTCCAACCCGGAATTTTCTGACCAATTGCAAAAAGAAAATGAGAAATAAAAAACAGGGGCAGAAGGGAGAGTCTTTGTAGATGAACACATGACTATAAAGTCTTAGTCAACTATTTCAATGTTGGAGGCGATTATTACTGTATGACTGTGACCTTCATTTTAGAAGAGATTCCTTTCCCACTTAAAAAAACTCCCATCTATAACAAGAGCAGCTTTTGTGCTTCACTTGCTGGACAATCAAGTCCTCGTGGGATTTTACGGCTCAACATACCAACAGTAACATTTTATGACCTGTGTGAACAGCAGTCCAGAGGTGCACTGGTAATGGGGTTATCCAGGCTTGCTGAGAATATGATGGGGGTCCTGATTTGCAAGCAGGTGGTCCTGCTTAATGATGGAGGAGCAGACAGATCTGCGGAATGCCTCTCGGAGTGGGTGGGATGAGGGCTGACTGTTTGAACACCCCCAAGTGCTCTTTCTTTCTATGAGCGAGTGCAGGCCTGGTACATTTTTCATTCTCACTGTTTGTGCAAGGAGGAGCCCTGTGACCCTCTGCAATGCCTAACCTGTGCAGGCCCCTCCCTGCCTGCCTTCTGTTGTCTCACCTTCTCCTGTGTGAAGTGAGGTGGTGCTGTTCCATGCACTTGTCTTGTTAGTTGCCTCTGTATTCACTTGTTTTCATACAGACTCTGTTCAGTTCTCTGAACTTAAAAAAAATAACCTGAATTTTGTCTAAATGTTGTGCTTGGTTTCCTTAAAGGAGAAATGTCTGGTCTGTGAATTTCTCCATTATTAGAATATTAAAAAAAAAAAACTATATATATATATAGTATTTTTTATTTTTTTTACATTCATGTGAAACAATGGGATTGAAGTCCTTTTCATATTATTTTATTATTTAATTAATATATTAATTAAGACGATGACTGTGTCTCACATCAGTGCACTGGAAAAAACGTGAGATTGGAGGTTTGTTGATTTTCCTGACTTCTGTCAATGTTGTAGCACAAGTGGCTATCTGAGCTGAGCTAAAATCCTGAATATCTGTTTGTTACATAAAGCATAACAATCCACAGAACCAGGTGACCCCCCTGCCCCCCCTCACATACACTCTCTCCCCCATCAACTAAGTGGCTTATTTGATCAGATTTTACATCTGTACTTATTCTCTCTGGAGGATTATTTCATTTCACAGACGGTAAGTCATTTCCTGAGCTCAGTGGTGGTGGGTGAGTGAAGGTGGGCTCTGGCCCTGCCATAAAACCACGATGGGAAATCCATAGTGTTGCTACCTTATAATTTAGATATCAGGCTTTTCTACCACCTGCTTTTGTCTAGTCTTTAGTTCTACAGACGGACTTACGGTGTGAAACATGACTGTACATTTGGCTTATGTATAAAATATACAGTATGTATAAAAGAGTGAGAGTAATTCAAAAAAAGGATGCTGACATTTTTTATTTTGTCTGTGTAAATATGGGATGGAAATCACACCCCGGGAACTGAGTTGCAGTGCTGAGCAGTTTAATGAAGTCCTGTTTTGTCTTTGGGGAGTCAGAGGAAGTCAGGAAGACTGACTTTGAAGATTAGAGTTTTTACTTGACTGAAATGGGCCACAGTCTTAAAGTGAAAGTTCAGCCGCCTGATGTAGAGTTTTCTTTTTTTTTATTATTACAAAGTTACTCCCGAACTGAATTGTTGCGTCCTCTGTGACTCATTTCAAAGCCGTTAGGCGGTGAAGCGAGCAGAGTTAGACAAACAGAGGGGCTGGATGGAGGCTTTTGACGGAAACATTCAACGGAGGCTGGTCAGAGGGAGGAATTAAGTCTCCGGAGTCATTGCACATTTTAGATTTTTTAATTAAAAATGCAGGAGTGGGAAAACCTGCTTGGCATAGCAATAAAGGGCTGCAAAATGAAAAAGCCATGAAAGATGGTAGAGAGTAGAGGAGCAGATCATCTTGATTTGTAAACCAGTGTGATGTGATGA